CCCCACTTAGTTTGTTTTTCTTTCTCTGTATGACCATGCTTATTTCTTGCTGTACTGTGGTTTTTTTCTGGGATATGAGTTTTCAAAATTTTTTTTTCCACTTGTATCTGCTAGTCGGGCTTTTGCTAGTCTACAGTGCAAAAAGTTAAAAATAGTCCCTTCTGCACTGTTAGGCCTCCTTTGTTGTGCAGTGATATCTTTCATAACAAAAAAACCCCAAACCAACCTACTTGTTCCTTTTGACCTGCAATAATAAAAACTGGCAGGTCATACTACTGCATCTTAGTAGTTATTGTGATCTGGCACTTGGTCCAGGTCAAGGAATTGGTAAAACACTGCATTTCTAGTGTTTTTTTACCTTTTCTGCCACAGGAAGAAAGTGCTGCTGGGGCTGTTAGCACAGTTAATTAATATGTAATAACTTGATGAAATGTCTGAGTCCAGGATGAGCTTAATTATCAACAGAAATTTTATCAAGTTTAAATGCTTCTGTCAGCTTACTAATGGTGATGGGGATGAGCAGCTGACAAGTTTGTGCCCGGTGAAGTCTTTATCTTTTAATGTTACTGACTGCATGACAGATGGAAGACAATTGAGTTTGACTTTCAGACCAGGTTGTTTTCAGGATTAACAGAAAAATTGTGCTTTTTAATATATCTTACTATAGAAATACTGATAATATATCATTATGCAAAAATTCCTTAAGTATTTTTATATTGACTTTCTCATTGGGAAGTTCTGTGGAACTTGTAGGTGCTTCAGGTTTGCTAATTTGGGGGAAGAAAGCAGGGAAGTAGTCTAGCTTTCCCTCCAAAATTATTGCTGAGAAATAGTTTTCTGGTCATGCAATATTAGATTGCCCAACAAAACTATATTTCTTTCCCCTTTTCAGGTTTTAATCCATTAAATGGAGAAATCCTGCTTTCAGAAGATAGGCATATCACTTGCTGCACAACTGGAAGTACATTACCAACAGCAGAGGAACATAATTCACTTGCTGATTCAGGAGTTAGCATCGCTGCTGAAAATTCAGGTACCTTCTCCCAGACCGTGGAAATGAGGATAGAATATTCCCAGCCTGTGAACATCCAGGGACCAGATCTGGCGGGTGACGCATCCCTGGTGCACACTGAGGTCGTGCTGCCTGCTGAAGCAGATGGTTCACCAGAGCTGGTTCGAGGGCACTTTGTGAGCGAGAATGTGGTGGGTGGACTGGCAGCTCCGGAACTTTGCAGCTCCGTGTCGGAGCACGCAGGGGGCAGTCAGAGCACTGACTTACCAACAAGTGAGGAAAATGGCCACAATCAAAAATATCAGGAACTGCAAGAAGAAAACCCTAATTTTGCAATTAAAGAACATTCTGAGCAACTTCGTAACGCTGGTATGACTGACGAGATGCAGGAACTTGAAAAGGTTTTTTCAGCAAACGTTGTGCCAATAAACTACCCACACAGTGCTCAGGCTGAGTCGCACCCAAACGCTGTCCAGGGAGCCTCCCTGTCTGCTCATGTGAACCATGAAAATGCTTTTAAAAACCAGACTGACTATTCTTGTGGGACAGAGGAAGCACATGAGCTGGCGAATACAGTAACTGTAGATGAAACTGTAGCTTTTGAGATTTCCGATGAGAGCCATGATTTTTTGTCTCAGGGACACGAACAGATTTTTATTCAGACTTCAGATGGGCTTATCCTGTCTCATCCAGACACTGCTGTTTTGTCTCGGGCAGAGGGCATTGTTATTGTAACTGATTCCAGCGGTACTACAATGCACATTCGTACACCTGAGGGGATACCTCTGGAAACTGTGGAAGCACTACTGGCAATGGAGGCAGGTGGCCAAAGTGAAGATATTTTGCTCTCGCAAAGTGAATTGGAGCCATAAATTAGAAAAACCCTATAAGCTTTCTTCTGGAAAAGACTGATTATAAAATGTATATTTTTCTAATGTGAATACTGAGATAATTGAAATTTAACTTATTTGTAAACTGTTTCTATGCCCTGTACTTTTTATAACTTATGTTTATATAAATCTAGCAGCATTGCAACCAAAAATTCTAGAATTAACATTGTTCTATTTGCTTTATATGTTGGGGATGGGTGGAAAGTAGAAATCTGTCAACCCTAAAATTGTTGCACTGTTCCCTTTTGTTACCTAATTCCTTCTCTCTCTAGCCATCTAAAAATGCAGTAAGTTGTACTGCTGTTCAGCAGTGATGTGCTGTGTACTGGCAAGCTGTATATGGGTAAAATAAAAGCTATATTAAAAATGTGCATTTTCTGTGCCACTGAGATTACAAAACACTTTTTGGTATTGCAGTTTTTCGAAGTGTGAATATTCATTAGCATCTAGACTTGATGCACATAAATCTGCCTGGAAAAATGGGCAGTTTTAAGTATAATCCACAGTTGGGCATTACAGGAACAATGTGACAGCCTAGCTGATCCTTACTGAAATAACCATCCACAGAGTTAGTGACAGAAATAGCCTCAAACAAGATCCGATTTGTACTGAACTGTTGGAAATGTATTTAAGTTTTGTGTAATGTTCATCCACACCTTTAAAAATTGCTGCTACTTAGACAAAAATGGGAAGGTGCGTAAGTAGTGATCTGATTTTCCTTAATGAGGTACCAAATTCTCTTTTGCTTTAGTCTGCGATGGCCTATTTTTGTGAGACTGGTATTACACGTTTTTGCTTTCACATGATGCATCCTTTATCAGTTCTACCTTTTGACCTTCCTAGTAATTTCACACTGCCTTGCACTGTTTAATCATAATACAAAGGTATCCGTGACTCCCTGTTTCTCTAGGCAGGGAGAAAACTTGGCAAATCACTTAGCAATGGCTATCTCGTATTTTTGTCATACTTTCAATACGATCCTTAGATAATGTACTTTTGTGGAGACCTCCCAACAGCTTCTTGTCCAAGGCACTGTCTTGTCTTCCAAGAAGTTTTAAGAGGTGAAAAAGAACAGTGTTGAATGAGTAGACATTACTGTAAATTGGTAACATATCCTTAAAATGTGTGTGTCACCTCATTACTAAATAAAGGAGGCTCCTGAGATAACTGGACAAATCCACTAAGGACCTTGATCTGCAGGAGAGCTGTTTGGTTGATAAATCAAATATGAACACGATTTTTTTCATGGTATTGTTACTGAAGAACAACACAAAAAATTGAGTCTAAACAGGAGAGAGAACAACTTAGAGGTGAAATAATCTGTTCTACGTCCCTTTAACATAGCTGGTTTGGTTTTATTTGTTTGGTTGGGTTTTTTCTTGGTTGCCTAAGTAGAAGATGAATTTGATTAGTCAAAGCACTGCCTTTTAGGTGTGGTTGTGAAAGATGCTCTGTATTAATGAGCTCCTGTCTGGTGGTTGGGTTTATGGTGTAGTGTTTGATTTGGGTTTTTCCCCATCTTTGTTTTATTAGGAGGTGGTAATGGCCAGAGGATACAGACCTACCCTGTAAGTGAAGGTAGCATATAAAGCCAGATTCTGCTGGTCTTTCAAAGTCTTTGATTGCAGTGAGCAATTCTTTATTACACTCTTTTGTACTGGCTGTCTAATCACTACATCTGAAGGCTTCAAATATAACAATCAACATCTTAGAGCTATAATGACAAAACATCTCTGCAATGATTTTGCAGTAATCTTCCCATGTCTGACAGCAATCAATAAGCAAGGGGGTCTGTGAATACGAAGACCTCTTCCTGAAGAGCTTATTTCCTCTAAGAAACGAGCAAACCACAATTTCCACCTGTGCAGAAAATGAATATTTGCTTCAATTCTGTCTTCCCTATTGATTTGCACATGCTGGGAAATACAATACACCTACTCCCATCTTAAAAGAACAATCCTATATGTGAACCAATCTTTTCTCCTTGGAAAATATTTTTGAAGTATGAAGGTGTTTCCATAGTGACACGGGTCTGGCCCTACTCAGATAAATTAAAGTGGCTGTTAAACTAGGTGGAACACTTGCACTGAAAAATAATAAAACCCAACAAAGCTGTTCCTAACTGATTGTGTTCTCCTTGAGCTACAGCAGAATTGCTTTTTAGACACTAGAAATTTGGGCTAAGAATAGAACTCTATTAGCTGTCAGAAAGAACCTCGTTCAACACAGCAACACGTTGAGAAAACTTTACCAATTCATGTCTGTCTGTTCTGTTCCTGCAGCAAACTTATCAAGCTTATGAGGTTTCAGCTTAGAGCCAGTTAAGTAAGTGATGCTGCTTTTGCTATCAGTACAGAGAGGCAAACGAAAATCACTTGATATCAGTAGCAGTAATCCAAGGAAAAACTCACAGAGCCCTATGAGGTGGAGGAAACAATATAGGATACGGCCCTGACTGAAGGAGGTCTTCTATTTATTGAATAGATGCTTTCATGAAACATCTCTAAGAGAAAAAGTTAAAATTAATTAAGAGAAAAGACATTTTTATATGACTGTGGAATGCTGAGTTGTACTAAATCTTCCCAGCGTGGTAGTTCAGGCTTGGATCACTCTTGAAGGGTGATGCACCTATCACCACCAGACTCAAAACCAAACCAGAATTTACACTATTGTCTACAACTGCATTTCAGAATCATACCAAACTGTGTGGATCCTTTTGGATCCTGCCTTTTTTTGCCTTCCTCTTCTTCACTTATGAAGCCAGTACAAAAGCACTCGTCCTGTTAAATCATGCAAAAGACCCCCCCTGAAAGATCATGAAGTGCTGAAATTCCATGGCCAAAGGGACCGTGTAGGTACTTCAGATTGTCAAGACTTGGAAAGAAGTAACATTCTTTGCTGTAGCTGTCTATGTGCTTACTTCTTCCTGATTATAGGGGACTTAGCCTCCTACCTGTATCCTCTCTACTGCTCTTAAAATGGATAAAACAACCCAAACCAGATTGTCCCATGCAGAAACAGGAGTATCAGCTAAGACAAAATAATAAATACAAACAGAGAAAAACTTTTTTAATAAGTTTTACAAAAATTCAACTTACGTGGTAAGCCTTGCAATTTGCCATTTCAGTTTCATGTAAGCATCATTAGAAGCCAGCCATGTAACTTTTGGAATTCTAGCACTTTCTGTGTCCTGTCTCCAGCAGCATGGCTTCAAGTAGCAGTGTGCTGCTGTTCTCAATGTAAGGCTGGTATAACCACGATGATAAATACACCATCAGCAGATCCTGGTCAGCAGAATGAGCTATGTCTTGTACAATTGCTTGCTTGAGTTGTAGTTCCTTCTTGTACATTTCGGAGAGCTTCAAAGAGACCTCATCTGGAATGGATTAAAAAAACCAGCACATTGACCAGAATATATCAGCAATTCTCTACAAGTTAAATTACACTTGAAATATGTGGATCATTAAAAAATCCACCTACCTTACATAAGCTATTGCCCAAATACAGACACCTTGTTTTTTAGAGCATTAATCTAGTGTTTTTACACTAGAATATCAAATGCTAAACAATTTCCTCAGCTTTGGGATATATTTTACACACATCTGATTTTGACATGAGTCCCCATTTAATTCTAGAATAAGCAGTGGTATTGGTTCTCAGAATCCACCAGAAAATTAGCAATTAGAATCAATAATTATCAATTATAGCTATTCCTCAAATAACTGAAATTTGATTTTAAAATCTGGTAATGCTATCCTGCAATACAAGCTTCACATTTTAGAGTCCCTATTGATTTTAGCTAAACTAAAGAATGCCCCCACATGCTGTCAGGCACTTCAGCAATGCATGATCACCAATGAGTGATATCAATAATGAAAAACAACAGCAAAAACCCCAACAGACCAAAACTGAAGTAATGTAAAAACTAATACTGTTACTAGCTATGTTAGTAATACTGGCAGGGGGATTAAATGCATCTGTATAATAATCTTTAATTGTCTGACTTCCTAAAAAATAACCATACAAATTATTTTTAAAGAGAGACTGATCCTGTGTTTCTAACTTAGCCTGAACTATCACTGCCTTCAGAAGGATTTAGTCTTTCATGCAGTAGACAGCATCACTAAATGATTCAGTCACAATGGGTGTTTTGATAGCAGTTGTCTTTGTCATCCTTACCCTTTTAAGCTGACAGAAACTAATACATAAGATTCCTGCTAAATTGTGGTAGTGAAGAAGCAGGGCTGCACGTGACTTCTACTTCACAAAGAAGGCATTTGGTTTGCATGTAATCAGGCTTCTCTTAAATTCAGACAGTCTTAAAACTGGGGTAATACCAGTTGGGAGGCAGTACCTTTTGCCATCAAGTGAATGCTAAAAGAATTAACAGTAGACAGTAACATTTCTTTACTTGTCTTGACTGACACTGAGATCAGAGGTATTTTTCTTTGGCTGCCTGCAGAATTAACTAAGGTATAGCTTGCTCTTTGCATTCAAGGACTTAATTTCAGTGTCAAGCAGCTAAGCCTACAGCTTAACACCACCAAGTTGCACATAAGTCTCTCCCTTCAGAGGACGTGGCTGTTGCAGCTTGGCCACTGTGAGCTGCTGACAAGCTCAGTTCTGTGCTGTAACTGTTGCATGTCAGACAATGCCTGGCACTTCACACAAGCAGGGATCAGCAGTAACCCTAAGCCAAGTGGTGCATTCATGTGTTTATTGATTAGTCAATTGTAAAGGAGACATATACCCTCTCTCAGGCAAGACATCCAGATAAAAGGGTTTACTTTTCAGTCTTAAATTAGATGACATCAAAGACACAATGTAATTAGCTAAGATAATCAATATTTTACTTACAGAAATATGGTGTGGGCCATGTATGAAAGAAGGGTGCTGTGCAATTCCCAGCTCCATGGTGGAATGCTTCCAAGTCACAGATTGCTTTAGTAGTCAAAGTAAGCTTTTCCATTTTCAGTTGTATTTTTGTCTGAAAAAATGATGAATGTGTAATCTTACTGAACATCTCAGGAACATCAGGCTACTATAATCTCAAGGATTTTTTAAAAACATGCTATTTATGAAGGCTATTTAGTCTTAGTATTTCTAAATCACAGTTTTTTAACTCCAGAGAGACATGACACCTGGAATCTATATATTTAATATGAGATATCTTGAAATTTTGAACACTGCAGATATGACTGATTTTGCACATTCTTTTGTTTCCCTCATGTAGAAACATACTAAAGCTTTCTGTCATTTTTTCTCTCTCTAGGTTTTTCCTATAGCAATTTAGCACTGGGGAAAAACATCAAACAAGTGTAGCACAAGCCCTATCAACATAGGTTTTCTTACATTACCATGTAAAAATGTCTTAAATTTGATTTCAAAAGATCAGCAGCAAGTGAGAAAAGCAGCTCAAGCTACTACTGACAAGGTATCTAGGCTGATCTAACAGCCTGCTTCAAAAAACAGGTCATTCCATCCACTTGCTTCATGTTCACCTGACTTTGTGCATTGCTGATGGGGACGAATATTTACAACAAAATGGAGCTTGCAGGCAGTATCTTTAAGTCCAGCAGTTAAAATAGAGATATTTCTATAAACTCATAAGCTGGTATAAACTCATAAGGAATGAAAAATAAAATAGATCATTGTAGTTATGTTTAGTATCCAATCTAACACTGTTAAGACTCGTATTACTCAGGAATAGTAAAAAATTGAATCAACACACTTGGTAGTCTGAATACAAAACTACCTCAAGGGAAAAAGAACCCAATGAAAAAACACACAAATTACTGTTACTTTTTCCCCCAGCAGAAAATCTGAGGGAAATCTAGCTCATTTCCTGCTTTTTCTAAATACTGGATGACTGGTATGCTGCCTATGTAAAAAAAGGAGATCTACCATCTTTTTAATGGGCCTCCACTTTGGCAGAAGGCTGTAAAAGTTATTTTTAATATGAATTTTAAATTACAGTTTCAGGCAGAAAAATACAGTTTGTTTCTTGTCAAACTGACAGGTGGCATTAATTCCTAGCAGTGCATCCAGGGAAAAAAAGGGTTACATAATAATTTTCTTACTCCACTCTCTAGAGAAGGAGATCTGCACAGCAAATGCAGGTAGGCAGACTAAAAATATAACTGCATTATGTCTGATCAAAGACAGCTGCAAGGATATGATGGCAGGTAAAGCACTACTTTATGCTTTGTTGTTTCTTTTGTTCTAAACAGAAAGAATATCCAGTATGAGAGAATATGTGCAGTTTTAGAATGCATTCTTTGTACAACTTATTTCCAGATCACTTTATAAAGGGAGGAGTAGAATTATAAACAGAAGGCAGATGTAAAACCAACTTTCAAATTTACCGATCAGGCGAATAAATGGTGCATGCTGGATTTATAATCATTTAGGTTTGAAGCCAAAGAACTATGAAAGAAACCCCCAAATTTCTGTCTACAACAAATACTTGAGAACATTTCCTTATGTCATATTTGAGCACTCTTGGAACTGATTCATATCGACTAAGATTGGAAAATGAGCGTTACCATCTGCTTTAAGGTCTCGAGTAATTCTGCACAGCAATTGTCCAGTTCTTCGTTGTATCTTGGGGTTGGCTTTTCAGGTTCTGTGACACTGGTATCACATGCTATCTCCAGTTTTCTGTCTTGAAATCTAAAATAAAAATATAAGGCAGAGTAAACAACTGCATATAGGTTTACTTGAGCTGTGCAGATTTAAAATCCATGTGGCCTGATCCTACAAAATCTCTCTCTCACAGACTGTTCATGAGAATACCTACATAAAAACTGCACAAGGCATAGCTGGCCATGGGAACAAATAGGGATGACACCACAAACCTCAAGAGAAACATAGACCTACTCTACCTCAGAGCATGTGCTTGAAAACGGTGTGCTTGCAGGTGTTAAGATAACACTTTTTCCCTCTGCCCCTGTGTTGGAGGTTGTTCTCCCATAATGGAAAAGGTTTGCCCAGGCTTCATCTGCTCTGGATGACAACCTGGTGCCTCACCACAAACTCATATTTGTGCACAATTTAAGCCAAGACATTCATCTGTGAACCCAGAGCAGCCAATGTACAGACACCTACCCTGCCTGGCAGACTTTAGAGGGAGCTGCTAGAGAGCAAAAGCAACATCTGGCACCATTACAGCAAAATACTCCTCAGCTTGTACCTGTCAGAACCCTGTCAGGCAAACTCTCTTCAGCTGTCAGGACTCTGAAGAAGCTTCTTCTCACAACCCTCTTAATTAGGTTTTCTTTACAGTATGAAAATAATAGCTCTACCAAAGCGGGGTGGGCTTTTTTTTTAGTTTTTCACTTTTTTTTGTTGTTTTGTTGGTTTTTAGTTTTGGGGGGTTATGTATGGTGGTGGTGTGGTTTTTTTGTCTGTTGGGGTTTTTTTAAGTCATTACTGTTAAAACTTTTTTGTCTGTACAAATCACTGATTCTTTCTTCAAATCTGTTGAACTTTTCACTTGAGTGAAACGTGTAAAATATGTAAGAGAGTAAGGGAACTCACATGGGTGAGATTTATAGATTTAAACTTTGTGGATTATGTAAGTATTTTAAATATCTGTTATGTTTGACTATGTAAAATGTTTTCCATTTCTTGCAAATGACATTACTTTATGAGATTATTTTAATCTTTATGAGACATTTATTATTTGAATATAAATAGTTTATGTAACCAAAAAGTGCAGCTGCTGAGTTTGATCTAAGAGCTAGCTTATCCACTGTGGCATGTTTTCTCCCCTGTCTCCAAAAAGAACTTTTTAGTGAAGAAAATACATTAATCTCACAAAAAAGGCAATCTTTACGCTGTCCTTATTCCTGTGTATTAGCATACTTACTGCTCACTGATCTTCATGTTGACTATTTTGTTTGCCGTAGTAAATCCATTATCATTCAGTCTCTCCCATTTCATCATTAAATTATGCCAGTCTGCTGCATTATCTTTAATTTTTCTTGCACTGACAGATAAAACAGGCCTTCTTGGAGTACTATCAGCAGGACTTTTTGCTGTATGAGAAAGTAAAGATATTGAAGCCATTTAAAGCATACAGAAATAAATCAGTGTCTATCAGCAGTTTGTGTGAATGATTTCCATGCTCTACTGGAGAATATTGATTAAAGTAAAACAGAATTTATATTAACTGTCTCTGGTCATGAAATCTAATTCCTCATCTATCAGCCTTATTACTATTTATAAGAAAACAAGGTTATTTAAAGAACACAAGCACATTCTGCATGTGATATTGCAGCACGGACAGCAGCATCTTTGCAGAGCTGACTAATCTAGCAGTCTTCTGACAGTCAAATACTAATGCAGTATAGGAAATCACGGCAACAATTACTGCATGCATCCAGTGCTCGTGCCGTGAAAAGTATGAATTAATTCATGGCAACACACGACCTGGAAGAGTTTGGGGGAAGGCTGAGTCCTACTGCAGACGGTGGGCGCTTTACTGCTTGAGCACAAAGCCCACATCTCGTGGTGTCTCCCTGGAGGCCCAGAGAGCAACAGGAACCTGCAGCACATCCCTCTGAGCACACGAAGCAGCCCCACCTTCACACATCAGGCACTGCCCCAGCAGACAATGCAGGGCTCCACACCAAGCAATAACACCCTGCCTGCTCGTTTGCTGGCTTTAACTTTAATCCACAGAGATGCCCAAAAAGTGGTCACAGACGTGAAGGCCACACATAATCATAGAATGGATCAGGCTGGAAGGGACCACAGTGGGTCATCTGGTCCCACCCCCTTGCTGAAGCAGGGTCATCCCAGAGCACAAGGCACAAGATTGCGTCCAGATGGTTCCTGAATATCTCCAGTGAGGGAGACCCCACACCCTCTGTGGTCAATCTGTCCTAGTGCTCGGCCACTGCACAGTAAAGTTCTTTCTCATATTCAGATGGAGCTTCCTGTGCATTAGTGTCTGCCCGCTGCCTCTTGTGCTATTGCTCGGCACCACCGAGCAATCCTCTTGGCACCACCCTGCTCCATCCTCTTGGCACCCCCCCCCTTCAGATATTTATACACACTGATGAGGTAACACACATGGTGCGACACGGGTGTCCTCCGCTCCTCCCGGGGCACCGCCCACACTCGGGCGTGACAGCGACAGCCCGGTGGGCTGGCGGGGCACCACGGGCACATTAAACCTCGTTAGCTCACCAAGGAACCACCAGGACCCGCCTCCGGCTGCTCCCCCCTCTCCCTCCCGCTCCTCCCGCTCCTCCCGCTCCCTCCCGCACTCACCCGCCATGGCGGCCCCGCCGCCCGCGGAAGTTCGCTCACGTCCGGCCCCGCCCAGCCCGGCCCCGCCGAGCGGCGCAGCCACCGGGGCCGCCGCCGCTCCGCCGCCTCGGGGCCCGGGCAGCGCCGCTCCCGCCGCCCCTCCGTGACGGGCCGCCCCGCGCTCCGGAGCGGTGAGTGCAGCCGAGCCTGGCGGGACGGCCGGGGGGCTGCCCGGCTGTCGCTGCCCTCCCCGGGCGCCGCCAGCGGGGCCTGCCGCGGCCGCCTGTTGCGGGCGGTGCTCCTGGCCGGCCCCCGGGGCTCGGGCAGCGCCGGGTGAGGGGGCTCGGGGCGGGGGCTCGGCGGCTGTTCCCGCTGCTCCGGGGGCTGCGCCGCCCGCCCCTTCCCGGAGCGCTGGGTCTGGGCGGTAAATCCGGCATAAGCCGAGGTAAAGCCGGCGGGAAGGCGAGGCGGCCCCGCAGGTGTCCGGCCGGGAGCCCCCGGCTCTGTCCCTGTCCCCTGGCAGGAGCTGCGGCCCCGCAGGGGGCGAGGAGGCACCTGTTGGAAAGGAGTGGTTTGGAACATCTGTCGGAATATGGTCGTGCGTCTAAGGAAGGGAGGTTAAGATAAAGTGTAGTAATGGCTTCAAAATGAAAGAGGGCAGGCATATATATTAGGTATATAATAGACATTAGGTATATGCATGGTATTAAGAAGATGGATATATGTATGATATTAGGAAGAAATTCTTTACTGCGAGGGTGGAACGGGTTGCCCAGTGAAGCTGTGGATACCCCATCCCTGGAAGTGTTCAGGGCCAGCTTGAATGAGGCTTTGAGCAACCTGGTCCTAGTGGAAGGTGTCCCTGCCCATGGCAGGGGGGTTGGAACTGGGTGATCTTTTAAGGTCCCTTCCAACCCAAACCTTCTAGGATTCTCTGAAGGATTCCTAGGGAAGATGAGTGTACTCATCAGCATGAGTACAGCCAGGCTTCCCTGGCTTCTCTTGGCATACTGGGATGCACAGTGACACTGGATTCTACTTCTTCTATCCTTTCCATCTCTTTTGTCTAGATTTGTTCGTTGGTTTTACAGTCTATATTTTATTATTTCAAAGAGAAAATAAACAAACCTCATTTGAGCCAAAAATTCATGAGCTGTGTAAAGCAAAGTGTGTGTTAATCAGGTAACCATGACCTGTGTGCTGCTGGTCATTTGCCTGAGCACAGGACACAAGAAATCAGAGCTCCTTCGGGGGTGTGTGCATCTGTGTTCTCCCCTCTACTTGGCAGCAGTTTGCTGTAAAAACCTCTGGTGATATGGCAGTCAGGTACCCTGCTCTGGAGCTAAAGGTGTGAGAAGTATTAGAAAAGAAAACAGCTTTCCTCTTTAGTTGGCAGGATCTAGTTGAGAACAGAGGCTGTTGCGTTTAGCTGTGGTCATAGATATGAGTTTGTCTATGCTCTGAAGAACTTAAATGTAAGTTTTTATGCCACAGATTAAAAAAAAAAAATCAAACGGAGCTGTCGTCCCTCTTGTACAAACAGGACACTTGGGCTCAGAGAAATGCAGTGACAGCTTTAGCTTCCCGCAGTCCATCTGTGGCATACCCTGGCACTGAACCTTTAACCACTGCCTGTCTGCTGAACCAGGGGATTATCTCTCTCTTTAGTTGCCTCTGTTAGGCAGCACTGAACCTTATTCCTGTTTCTGAGACCAGAGAAAATAAAATTAAAAAGTCTGCTTTTCAGAACATAGCCTCGAATGCAGTATTTGAAAGCGTGTGGTAAACTTTGTGAAATGAGAAGGAAGAAGGACTGTCTGCCTAGTGATTGTTTTTGATGTGGTATTTTTCTCCACTTTATCTCTGCTGCAGGACAGCTGCTTAGCACAAGCTGATTTGCCCTGTACGGCTGTTATGTACTTCAGAATAACTGTGGCTGAGTGAACAGAGGGAATGTACACATCCAGTTCCAAAATCTACCTGAGAAAATAGATTATATCCCCTGTTTGCCTTGGATTAATGAGGTAGGAAAAACAGATAACAATTAATCCTAAAACTGTTAATAAAGAGGAAGAGAGTACATGTGATGCACAACTGTCATTAGAGGATATTGAAGACTTTAGAATCAAAAGCAGAGAATTGTGGCATTTGTGCAGGTGTTTTGAATGTGTAGGCCACATGGGAAATTTTCTAGTCCCTTGTACATTTGTTTTGTATACATAAAATTACTTAATTACTAGTATTTTTAGTAAAGTCATGGGTTTGAGCTTTTAGTTACATGTTTTTACACAAGCAGTGCAAGTGTTCTGTTAGTCTGTAAAAACACTCAAGATGAAACTAATTTGTGTATGATGGCAAGAAATTATAGTTTATGAATAAATTTTTACATTTTTTGATTTTACAGGGTGAATGGATTGTAGAGAAAAAAAGTGAATTTCATTTTATTACAATTTTGTCATCAGAGAATATTGAAATAAGATTATATATTATATGAAGAGTGAGAACCCTAACCTAACAGCAGTTTTTAAACTTAACTTAGTATGTGACAAGAAATAATTTCTCCCCTTGTTTTCTGTTGGTGGGAAGGAAAACTCTACCAAATTTTCCCTTTCTTTAATCTTTTTTTTTTTTTTTTAAATGGAATGTAAACTTACAAAACATGCATCAGGTTGCAGATAGAGTTGTTGTAGAGGAAAGAGTAATAATAGTCTTTTTCTTGATAATACAAATGAGCACATTTCCGTAGTTTGTAAAGAATTACAAAGTTTTTAATGGTTTAGCTGAGCTGGAAGGGGAAGTGATGGAAACAGAGGGGATAAATTCTGAAGACTTGGAAGGTCCTTTGGCAACTGGGGAGTATGAGGTGGTTCCAGCTACAAGAGCAGCTTCAGATGCTGACAGATGTGAATCGTAGGAGTAGCAAAGGGGACTTGAAAAACAAAATACCTGAAATTCTTGAGACAGTATCTGGGCAGTGGTGGAAGTTGGACTAGACAGAGGAAGATTTGTACATGTGAGATTCAGGACTGGATTTTATTCTATCTGAAAAAAGGGAAAAAAAATAAAAGACCATGAACTAGCAAAATTACTAAACTTGCAAAACAGCCTATTTAGAACAGCAAATAGGAGACTTTAGCAGTGGGTTCTCTTTTTATTTAGTTGACTGTTGATAGAAAGTAGTAAGTGCTGAAGGAACAGGCAGGAAACCTAAAATAGTGCATGGAAAATAGATGCTATGTGAAAACATTGTGAAAGAGTTGTGATGCACTGGGGTTATCTGTTAACATACAAAACACCTCTGAAAGGAACTCTTCATTCAGAAATACTTTGGACGCATAAATCAGCAAATCTTTGTGATATTTTTGAAATAGGTGTCGTGAGAGGTTAGTAAACACTAAAGGGGAGTAGAATTGATTTCTAAGCTCTAGCAACCAGTAAAATTTATCACAATTAAGAACATCTAATAACTGGTGCTAGCTTAGTTACTGGCAGTTTTTGTAACAGATAAAATATGAGCCCAGTAACCAATCTTTATTCCTGCAGTCTCGTCTGACATGGGCTTGCATGGGTAATGTCATGCAACCAATCCCTTTGGGTTTAGTGGAATTGTATGTTGATAGCAAGGGCCCAAAGCAAGTGTGCTGAATCCTCTTGCACAATAACTGAAATAGTTTGAAAATTGAGACATCTGAGCTTTTTGCAGTAATGGAGATATGAAACTAGAGCAGCTATTTTTTTTTTTCTAATTTTGTTGATATACACTGTAAGCAATGTGTGAAACTGCCAAACAAATGCCATTTTCCATCCTTAGAGAACTTAAAACTAGGCACAATAGGACATATCACAAATTACAGTAGGGATACTTCATAGAATAATTTTAAGTATTTAGAAGCATTTCTAGTGTCAATTAGTTGACTTCTGTTTTTCATTTCTCTAAGGAAGTTATAAGTTTGCTGAAGCTAAAGAAAATCTTCAACGTTAAGACTGTAAACAACCATTAAAAACTTTTGTCTTTACAGAAGTTCAAAATTCTTGTCTTGGAAAACTGCAGGTATTTTTGGCAGATTCTAAACAATTCTGTTGATTGGTCTTGCTCATAGCAAAATAAAATTCTAGAAGTGAAGGTTTCTTTTCTTTTCTGTATCTCAAAGTCATCCATGAGGAGAACTGCTGCAAAATGTTCTCGTCAAGGTTGTTGCAACGAGAAAAATTCTGGGTTTAAATAAATATTTTGAATATTTTTAAGTTTGTCATGGTCATAGCAGCTTTTTCTGAAGAAACCAGTATGTTATTGCTGTGATGAGCGATGGCTACATTTTTTTTCTCCTCAAAGAAGGCAAACAGACTCTTTGTTTCTGTTATTCTTAGATATTGTCCTCTAAGTATATTTACAGTGTCACTCACAAGCATGAAATTATTTGCTTATCCATAAAAGAAAACATGGACATATGGTACTTTTTTTTCCTGTTTGCTCCTTATCTTTCTAAATACAGTTGCTACATGGATATTTTCCTGGGTCTGTCAAAATGGAATTTCTTCCATTTTTGCTTTGCCCCTTTCCTTCCACATTATTTTTATGTTTTGGTTATTATTTGATTATATAGCAGATGTAGCTTTAAGTGAATTGTTTCTCAGCCATGTTTTTTCTTGGGCTGTGGGGCCTTAAGGAGTGGAGCACAAATACTAGTTTGCTGCTTTGATCTTACAGCGCTGTCTGACACAGTCAATGTCCCATGCTCTTGACACTGGTTGGATTGAGGGTAGAGGTTGCAGATAGATGAAGAAATATATCACGTGGGTTGTTCCATGCCAGAGGCCTTGTGGTTCTTTCACTAGGCAGAGGAGAAGAAATACTGCATGTGAATTCAACTTTGACAAGCTTACAGCTGCTAGAAAAAGTGGTTATCCCATATTTAGTGGTTACCATGCATCCTTAGATGTTCTGAGAAATACACCTAATTGTTAAAAAGAAAGTTCTTCTGAGAATAACTACATTCACTACGAGAGTTTAGCTTGCTTTTCCTTTATAAAAAGCAAAAAGTGAGAATTTTTTAGTCCCTACTTGCTAAATGGTGACTCTCAGTTAACAAGTAAATGACATGTATTTTGCTTTTGCCTTTCAGATTTCCTTATGTGGTCGAGTAGATGTGTTTATTTCAGCCTTAAAATTGCTGGTGCAAATCCTTGCTATGGCATCTGTGGCTTCACCGGTTATATTTAAGGAATTTTGTCCCTTATATTATCTCCTCAATGCCATTCCTACAAAGATCCAAAAAGGCTTTCGCTCTATTGTGGTGTATCTCACAGCACTTGATACCAATGGAGACTACATTGCTGTGGGGAGCAGCATTGGAATGCTTTATCTCTACTGCAGACAATTAAACCAGATGAAAAAATACAATTTTGAGGTAAATACCAACTTTTACTGTTATCTCTTTTGATGAAGCTAAGTTGCTCAGAATTGATCTCCTGTTTGTGTCTCATTAACTTTGTGAGTTCTTGGTATGGTTTGTTTCAACAGGGGAAGTGTGAATCTATTACTTTTGTAAAGCTGCTGAGTTGTTTTGATGATCTGGTTGCTGTTGGTACAGCCTCAGGTCGGGTTGCAGTTTTTCAGCTTGTGTCTTCATTACCTGGAAGAAACAAACAGGTAAATCTTTGCATTTGGCTAAACTTCTGTGAGGTTTAGTTTAGCCAATCCTAGTAGAGTGTTACTGTGATTCTTTGTAATAGTGAAACACAGCAAGTTTTGCCTGATTAAGTATCTGTGAATATGTTTTGGGCTTCATATGTTAAGCTTAAATGTAAGCATGCTTTACATTACAAAAAATGTATTTAATCAAATATGCTTTTGAGAGATTTCTCCTGTGTAATAACTGATCAATTCAGTGGTGGGGTTTTTGGATTTGTCTTTAGGTTTTTTGTGCTAAATAAACATTAGAATGACCTCCACTTTTGTACTTGATCTCCAATTAAATCAGGCAAGAGTCACTGAATAGACTTTGTGTCTCCATTTCTCTTCACCTCATTCCTGTATTGCTTTGGTATTGTTTCACAGCTCCGGAGATTTGATGTTGCTGGCATCCACAAAAGTAGCATTACAGCTTTAGCTTGGAGTCCCAATGGAATGAAATTATTCTCTGGAGATGACAAAGGAAAGATTGTCTACTCTGCCCTAGACCTAGACCAGGTGAGCATTTGTTGTAGAGACCTTAATTCACGTTTACATTTTCCTAAAAGAATGCTTATGTATTTACGTATCTAGCAGTTAGGTAATTGCTTAGTGTGGTGTATTTAATTGGATGGCTTTATTGGTATGTGTACACTTGGCAAAGTGTGTGCACACCCACATGACAACCACTGGATGTCCTTCACAACTGCCTTACCTTTTATGAAAAGTAATATATATTAAAAGAAGTAGTGATCCTTCTTTTTTTTCAGATTTCTGTCTGTATAACTACCGTATCTTCCTTCAGCGTTCAGCCAGTACTTTCTCTTTTGTTTTGAAAGGGTACTTTTGAAGGATGTGACTTTATAGATGAGGTCATTTTCCCAGAATTGTTCAGCGTCTGAGTCTGGAGTGTAGAATGAAACTAATATTTGGGTGCTGCTGGCCTCACATACATGTTACGAGTGAATGGGATTTTTCTAACATCTTGTTTATTAGACAGAGCTGGGATGTCAACAAAACAAATGCTAATTTGAATTTCTGTATGGGAGAAACATTTAGACAACATCTATCCTAATTTATCTGTGACTGTCCCTCGTGTGCTTTGACAGAAGGGTTTACATTGCCAAATGTAATGATTGTCTCAGCATTGTATGACCCGGCAGTGGAAGAAAACGTGTCCTGGAGCTTCTATTGATTTCAAGTGAAATGTGTTAGCTAATATTCCAAGAGAAATTGAATTTCATGGTCTACCACTGTGGCATGCACAATCTCCCTCCCTCTTGCCTACATAAATGAACTCCACGTTTTAATATTAATTGAACTTTGGGCAACCACAGTTCAAAAGCTTTTGTTTGTTTGTTTTCTCTTGGGCTTATAAATTTCTTCTGAGTGTTAATTACTACCTTGTATTTTTAGGAAGGTTTGACTCTTGTTAATTGTATGTATCTTCTAAAGGGTATTTGCAACTCCAACCTTGTATTGGAAGAGCCATCTTCGATTGTCCAGTTGGATTACAACCAGAAGGTGCTGCTTGTCTCTACTTTACAACGCACTCTACTTTTTTACACAGAAGAGAAATCCGTCAACCAAGTTGGAACACAGCCCAGAAAAAAGTAACCCTCATAAAATCTTGATGCAGGCACATCTATTAATGCTAGCATTTCAGAGTGGATTACAGAGAGAGTGATCTAAGCAGTGAAATTAATACAACGCAGCAGACTGCTCATAGAAAGTTAGTTACAGTAGCTCTGTGTGATCAAGCATGAAGTGACAGTTCTACCTCTTTAGAGAGTACGTGTTTGCAAATATGTGACAATCGTGTTTTCAAGGCACTATTACACAAAAATATTTTAAGGTGTTTTCTCATGGTTTAAACTGAAATCACTGCCAGACTTCCTCTTTGTCCCTCTTGGTTTACTGTGACTTGGTGTGAGTGAGCATTGTAATCAGGTCTGTCTAATGGGTGATGAAATATTTGATGCTAAAAGCAAGTCAGCATCCCAATTTTTCTTACACACTGAAGTGAATTAAAAGGGAAAATGTATCGAAAGCACTTAATTTGACTTGAAAACTAGGAACTTGTGTGGCTTTGACATCTTCTATTGTGTAATCTCTCGGATATGAAGGAAGAGGGAACCCAGTCCTAGAACAGCATGACTGACTGTATCTGTAAGTAGAGGACATTGACCCTTGAAAGAAGGTCCCTGATGTATCTGTCCAGGGGGTTGAATAGTAAGAGGGTTTTCCTGGGCGACAGTAATGCTGTTTCTGTGTATGAGAGATGAAGGTTTCAGCAGCTGAGGTCTGTTCCATGCTTCTTGCAACCAGAGGTTATCAGTTTCTTACGTTGTTTGGTAGTATTTTGCTTGTTTTTTATTCTGGGAGAGGGATGATGCATAGTAGGATCTTTCTGAGATGGACATAGTGCCATTAAGGCTATGAAGCTTATTAGGAAGAGTCATTTAATTTGCTTAATTGATGTAGTGTCTAACATGCAAAGCTGAGGGGAAACTGCTGTTATTTGAAAGCACTGCTCTTGTCTTACTGTATCTAAATTTGTACTTTGGACATTTGATTGAATATTTTAATCAAAGCACTTTTCTTTTTGATAATTTATGCTTGTAAATTTGTACCATTAGTTTTAAAAATTGTTTCTAAATTACGTATCTAGCTTTTAAAATAAATTCTTTTGCATTTTAGCACCGGCAAGTTTGGAGCATGTTTTATACCTGGCCTGTGCAAACAAAGTGACCTGACACTATTTGCTGCCAGACCTGGGCTTCGTCTCTGGAAGTCTGATGTTCACGGAACTGTTCAGGCCACATTCATATTAAAAGATGTATTTGCTGGAGGGATAAAAACTTTTGAACTGTATCCTCGTTTGGAACCACCTGACAGAGGAAGTTACAGCTCTCCAGAGAAACACCTTGGGCTTGTTTCGTGCTTTTTCCGAGAAGGATGGGTGCTAACCTGGAATGAATACAGCATCTACTTGCTAGACACTGTGAACCAGGTAGATAAACCTTGTGGGTGCATGTTTTATTTCTTTCTTGTTTTTTTTCATGATGTGCCATGAGACACTGTTTGGGTTATCCATTATACTACTGTGGTTTAACTGCTTACTGAAAATGACCAAAAAAAGACTTTATTCTCTCCCTTTTCAAGTTGTTATTGCAATGATACACCCACAAACTAGCTCGATATGTTATATATAAAAACTACATTTATTTAAAGCTTTCAATTGAGGTGTTAATGTCATAATCAATTCTGATGCTTAGCAAAGCATCTAGAAATTTAAAATCTAGTAATTAATGCAAAAGGATTTTTTTATGCTTATAAAATATGCTTGAAACTATTTATTTTTTCCCTTCTACTACCATTGGTGTCTGCAAAAAAATAAGTACTACATTTTATTTGATGTAGAGTGAGGTGTTGTTTATTTTGTCTTATTGAAAGTGCATATGGAAGGGAATACAGGCTAGTATCTTTTTGTCTAAATGTATTAGATGTTTGTACTGTGGCATTCTTCTGCCGACAAATTGTGTACTGCTGAAGTTGTTATATTGTTGCTGCTAGCTGGGTAGAGAAAGTGAATATATCTGTGGAATTGAAATTACTATAAAAATTAGTTACATTGTGATTAAAGGGCTCTTTCCTGTTGCTTTTTTCTATTTTCTTTCTTTTTGCTGAGATAAAAATCTTTATCCTGTTAACTACATACCTTGATTAAAATCCAGTGAACAGTTTTGTTGAGTACCATGTTTTGCAAACAGTATGGTTATCTGATGCCAATTATTTGTTTCTGTGTTGACTCTTTATAGGCTCTGATTGGTGGCTTGGAAGGATATGGTGATATTGTGTCTGTGTCCTGTACCAACAATGAGATTTTTCTCTTAAAGGGAGATAGAGACATAATAAGAATTTCAAGTAGACCGGAAGGACTGTCATCAATAGGTTTGTATAGATTAGTAAGCTTTAGTATGTACCTTATGGAACATGGTGCTTAGGTACTTTTTTAATATAAACCCAAAAAAACCAAAACCAACAAAAACAACCCAAACCAAAACAAACCCGCACAAAACTCTTCAGATTATTGCAAAAACCTACCAGGTTCTGTAGAGTTGCTTATCTCTTTTAACAGATTATATTTAGAAATCTGGTTTATCTTCTTATCTGTTGTTTTGGCTGTAGTGAGAATGGGGGCATTAAGAAATTAAATATGATTCCCTTTTTTTGAGAATGGATCAGCATTATCCTAATGAGGAATCTCTAATCTGTGCATTTGAGACCTTATTCTGAACCATGACACCGAAGCAGTTTGGATTCCTGATCACGGTTATCCATGGTCAGTCTCAATAGCTGAATTGTTGATTCTGTGCCACCTGTCACCACCCACGTTCTGGAGAAAATCAGCCTTCCTCACAATGGGAAAGAAAGAACAGACAAATAAACCCAAAGAATGCTCACTAAAATTCCAAAAAGAATCTGAGAGTTTCTTTTCATATTTGATGCCATCTAAGTTCAGCGTTTATGTTACTAGAACTCTCTGGAAAGGACTACTAATGCATTTAAAACACTCCATCTTAGCTTTGTTTTAGCAAAATGCTAGTAAATATGCAATGAAGTCTCATTGAATGCTGGAGAACTTAACCTTCTTATTATTGCATGTTAGTGATAGCTTTAGTCATTTAAACAGCTCTTTACTCACAGACTTATGGAGACTAAGTATAGTTTACAAGGAGCCTTCTTGAATTATATTTTATTTTAATCACCCCAGCGGTTTATTTGGTAGTTTTCCTTGATTTTTTTCAAGCTACTGAATGTTTGAATGAGGAAGGTAAAGATATAGGATGGCACTTCAGTGTGTGATACAATTCCAAGCTGCAGACCTGTACTTTCTTTATACATAAACATAAATTCAGAATTTTGCTAGTAGAAACTTCACACAGAGTTTGGGGGATTGATTTTACTAAAATGTTTTCATACAGATTAACTTACAGGAAGTTTACATTGCACGTGTGTGCAAATATATATGTAGGTATATACATAAATATATATCTTTAAAATTTTGTGAACTTAGAATTTATTTTTTTTTTTTTTTGCGTAAAGATTTTTTTCTTTCAATACTCTCCAAGGGCTAAGCCCCTACTCACCTGATGCTAGTATTTATTCTTGAACTAGTATTTATACTTTTCTTTTGGACAGTTTCAGATGTGAATTCAAAATTATTGAATCCTTTAACAGATACGAGTCCTAAATTGCTGACCCCATCATCAGTAGTTTCATCTGTATCATCCAGCCCTTCAGTGGAAACAGATAAAAAAATGGTTACTTCCCTTTTGGTTACTGGTGATAAAAATGGTTCTTCGGTGAAAGATGATCTGGAAACTCCAACGCTGTCTGAGAAAAGTTTTGATAGAATGGGAGACTTGAGCAATGAAATGAGAAAAAGGGGCTGCTCTGTAGTAAGTGAATCACGAAGCAGGAGCAGTTCTGTGAACTCTGTGGACAGTGGCTCGAGCTTTATGATGTGTGCAGACCAACTTTCAGAAGCTCAGCGAGAAGGTCAACTTTCTTCACAACGGTTCAGCACCATCAGCTCTGAAGATTTTGATCAAGAACTCATTGTAAAGCCAATTAAAGTAAAAAAGAAAAGAAAGAAGAAGCAGGGTAGGTCTGGCAGAACTTTCTCTGTCACTTCTTATAAGAGCATGGTCACTTCTGATGTTTCACGGGAGAGAGTGTGTCTGTTTGGCATGCTTTGCTTATGTTGTGTTGTCATGCTTCTGAAATAATTGAGGGGTCACTGTGGGCCATTTCTGTTTCGGATGAAAGCCTGTTTTGAAGGTGATAAATTGTTTAAGTCTTTTTAGATCTATTTGTTTTATTCTTTTAATTTTGTTTTGCTTCATTTAAACATGCTCAAAGTTCTAATGTATGGATTAATGGCAGCATGCAGTGGACTCTGTTTCCAGTTTTATGTTGGAATTGTGTGATATCTATTAATCCTATTCTGAATATTTGACAGTGTCTTTCTTAGCCATTGTTTTTAGTTTGCTAAAATAGTGTGAGTACTTGATTGTTTTAATTGTTTACTATTATGGTGTTACATCTTGAAAATGTTTTGCTGTTAAGACTTTTTTTGGCTTTATATAAATCATTTAGTGTTAAGGTTGAAAAAAAAATCAGTATGTCGAAATTTAGATTTAGCTCTATTCTTCCCCCAGTTATAAAAATACTTTAATTTCTTACTTTGCATTGGAATTTGATTGTACTAATATTATTTACACACACACCCCTTTTTTTTTTTTTTTGTGAGAACAGAAAGTGGAACAAGGAAAAACCACAGCTCTCTGGAAGGCACACCAATTTATGAGCGTCAGCTTTCTGGTGACAGTCCCCATTCATTGAATGCAGACTCCTTTTCCATGACCTCCAGCATAATGAGTGGCAGCATTGATCATTTGAGCACTGGATCTCCAGATCAGGAAAGCATGTTCAGTATGGAGTCCCATACGATCTTGCAAGAAGATAATGGTTCAGAAACTTTCAGTGTCCTGCAGTCTCCTGAGTCAGCAACTGTACTAATTAATGAAGAAAATGGAGAGGTGGTTGATTTGCAGAAACTTCCAAACAGTGACAGTGGCATGGGTACTTCAGCTATTATAGATACTTTGACATCTGCATCTCCTCTGATCCTCACAGAAGACTTGACAAGCAGTATTGATGGTGAATGTAATGGTAGTGTGGTTTCTGCAAGCAAAGAATTCTGTCCTGGAAAGCTGAGCCAAGAGGAGGAGCAGGATTTTCCTATGTTGTGTAAAATAGATGAAGATTTGGATAAAATGAAGCTGCAGGATACTGAAAAGTCTTTTGAAGGGCCAGACCTTACAGACCAGACGTTTTTGGAACGTGACCATACATTTGGTGTTCAGACATCACTGACACCAAAGGAAAGTGATGAAATTGGTAGGGAAGACCAGCAGGAGCTCTCCCTAATCCACAGCGCTCTGTCAGACCCTTCTGCGCTCCACTTTGACATCTCTAATGATGTTTGTTCAGATAACGCTTCCATTTCTGGGTGGAATTTTGAAAGTGCAATCAAAGCTAAATCTAGTGCTAGCACTGCTGAATGGGTAGCAGACACTCATGAAAGTAAGACTGAGAAATCTGCCTCAAGTGATGAAGAGGATATTTATGGCCATGGATTACCATATTCATCCTCGGAGACCAGCATGCCTGAAGCTGGTGCTGTGCCTGGTTCACAGGATGTGGCCAAGATAAGCGCCGATGAAATGGTGCTGTTAAAATCTGATCAGGTATTTGTTTTCAGTTTAGTTAAAGTACCTTTTAACTTTCAAAAGAAACAGCTTTTCAAAAGCAGCGTTCCTGTAATTACTGTCCTTTAAATCTGTAGAGAGCAATTTTTTTTCGCTTCATTCATGTAAACAAGTAAAGCAAAAAGCCAAAAGCGACACGTAACTCTTACAAAATGTGATGTATCTGACTTCAGAATGGGCGATGTGTGCTTACAATGAAGAGAAGCTGCTCTGGCTGTATTATTCCCAGCTCAACAAAAATGATGTTTGAAAGCCATCCATTACAGAGTGAGCAGTAAAACCAAGTCATGCTCAAGTACTGCACATTGTTTGGGTCTCCAGTAGCCCAAATTCTGTGTGAATGCTGTTCCCAAATTCAACTGACTTCATGGGGAATGAATGCTGATTATCTCACATGGCTGGCTCCTGGTTAAGGGTTATTTTACCTGTAAATACTCAAAGTAAGGATTAGTCTCTGTGCCCTAGCCAGCAGTTAGAACTATTTAAAACGATGACAGTTTCTTTTTTTCTGTTATCTCTTTTTCCTTTATTGTTATTTTTCTGTTATCCCTCTTTCCTTTATTGTTATTTTTATGTTATCACTCTTTCCTTCATTGTTATTTTGTGGATGAATGTTTCCAGAAACAATAATTCTCATCAGACTATAGAAAAGAAGTACTAAAAATTAATTGTAAAATCTGCAAAACTGCCAGACTTACTGGAATTTTTAGCAGAAGTCTGAAGAAGGAAATGCAGTTCTTCTAAGTTGGGTTTTTTTAGGTCTGTGGGTTTTTATTTTTTTTTTAGATCTGTAACAGCCTTGAATTGAGAGCAACCAAGAATTTGCTCATAAAGGCTGAGTTACAAGTTGGTGGTGTCCAGTCTAGTAACAACTGCAGCCCATACTGTAGAAGGCTTCTAGTTTCAGGTTATTGTGTTCTCTCACTGTGACATGTTCAGAAAGGCTCCGCTAATCCTTTCATTGCAGGTCACGTGTGCAATGCTTGAGTTCATGGCACACAAGCCATCAAAATTTCAGATAGCAGCCTGCAAACCAAACTTCTGCAAGACATGGGTCCTGTACCATACAGAGAGTATTGGAGTTGGATATTTAGCTGTCTCTGCACTCTAGCTGTCTTGTTCCCTTTGCTCATCACTTCCTAGACAATGAATAATTTCCTGCACTAAAGACAGACTGTAGCTTTTTATGTATTCCTTTTTTGCACCTGCCATTTACTTTAAGTTAATGAGAGATTTTCCACTTTTTGGAGGTGGATGACAGTGTGGAGGGGTTTGTTTTTTTTTGCTAAAACTGTTGTTCTAGCAGTCTTATTGTGCAGTACATAGAGAACACTGACAGATGTAGTTTTTATTTTACACAAGGCAAATGTATTCATTGATTAAGGTTACTTAAGATTCTTAAGTTCAGTGTTTTTTAATCAAAACATGGGAGGTGCTGTACTTATATACCCGTTTTCTTGTGCAGTTGGAAGTCACCTGACACTGTTCTGACTGTACAGTTTTTAGTTTGCAGAGAGCTGGATGGGGTACTCTGGCCCTGGTTATGGCATCCTGAGCCTGGTTGTTTCAGAAAAGTACATTTGGTGCCTGGACTACCGAGGCAGCCTGTACTGCAGTGCCCTTCCTGCGGCCGGGCTGCGCTGGCAGAAGTTTGAGGATGGAGTCCAGCAAGTGGCAGTGTCCCCGTCAGGTAGGTTGGTTTCTGCTGCACTGTCACCTCAAAAACTTACATAAACTTGGACGTTTTCTTTGCTTTTTTTGTTTAATTAGATGAAACTTGTAATTTTCGAGATTACAGAGTTCAGTGCAAATGTAATTTCCACTTAGGTAGTTTATTGTTTTTTATTTAAATATGGCATTTATGAAAACTTGGTTGTTTATGGCTTGTTTCACATAAAAGTAATGTGTTAGTTTTGTTTTTAAAAAAAAAAAACCTCACAGTTACATGACTTCACTGCCTCTGCATCCCATGTTGTAGTGTAAGTGGCTGTCTTTCTAATGGGTTCACGTTGCATTTTGGAAGATTTTCAACCTGCATTTGTCTGATTGAAGTGAACTTCAGAAGTAGCAGTTCAATGGTAGGCAGAGATGAATGAAGAGCTCCCTTTCTATACAAAACCTTGATTTTTGTTACAGAACTAGAGAAATTCTTTACTGTGGGGGTGGTGAGGCACTGGAACAGGTTGCCCAGAGAAGCTGTGGATGTCCCATCCCTGCAAGTGTTCAAGGCCAGGTTGGATGGGGCCCTGAGCAATCTGGTGTAGTGGAAGCTCTCCCTGTCCATATCAAGGGGAGTTGGAACTAGTTGATCTTTAAGATCCCCTTCCTCCCAAACCATTCTGTGATTCACAAATTTAAAATTCTTTTTGTTGTAAATGTTGAATTGCTTTTGCATATGTGTGGATTTGTTGATTTGATTTCTTTTTAAATACTGAAGAAAAAAATGCCTTTTAAGGTTTGATGCATTTGCATATGAATTTGTTCTGAGTAGTTGGGAAGGAGGATTATGTTGGATTAAAAATAAGTAGGTTTTGGTTATAAACTTGTCACTTTTGGCCTTCCAGATTGTTCCAGGACTGGTGGGAAAATACAAGTTTCTCAGCTATTTCCATTACTTTGTCTTCTGCCTTGCTGCTACTTTTCTTCCCTGTCGTTTCTAAAAGCACATGCCAATCTTCCCTTCTCTCTGTAGGGGAAGAAAGAAATTCTATTTAATCTGTAGCTGACCTTTGTTATGGCTAAAACAATTTAGGAGTAGTTGTACTAGGTTCATCCAGCTCAGTATCTTACCCGTAAGAGTGGTCAAAAGCAGGTCCCTGCAGAAAAGTCAAAGCAATGAGCATGTGTGAAGTGTGCCCTTGGTAGTTTCAGGCTACAGTTGGTGGCTCAGAGATTTCCTGGGCAAAAGGTTGTTCTGCATTTACTATCCTTCAGTTCCAGGAACTCACCCAGCTTTTCATTGAATCTATGGAAGCTTCTAGCATTTTTGCCATGGATGTATTAATGCAGGAGCACGTTAACCACAAATGTCAAAGTGGAATCAAATGCTATTTGTGGAATTATTCAAAGGAGATTAATATGACAATGTACTGTTCTGGTATGAACTAGCAGTAAAGTTTGGGCTTCTGTTTGGTTTTCTTTTTCTAAGCTGTCCTTGCTAATTCAAATGAGGGGAGAATTCTGGAGAAGGATTTGTGCAGTGGCATTGCTGAGTAACGAGAAGGTAATAACACTGCCCAGTGCAGGGTGGCCAGCACACCTGGTCAGTCACTTGTGACTGGTCCACAAAAGCTGTGATTTACTACTAATATTTGTGAAAGGTGAAAGTACCAAAATTAAACCCTTTTCCTTTATGCACCAAGGATGCACTAGACTAGGACAGAAGCAAGCCATGAACTTCAGTCTCTCAGCATTGGCCCTGACATAGAACTTGTTTGTTACTGTTCAGTGTTTAGCTGAGGAAAAGTAACTTGCATTTGAACATTTAAAAATCACACATATTCTAATGGTATATGTATTTCAGCACTTCTTAGACAAGTTAGTCACTGCTCTGGTCTTGCTTTTAAAAAAAAAATTCCAAGTGTTTTTTAATCTTGCATTTTTGTTTAATGCTACTGCTTTCCTTTTCCTCTCCCGTTGGTTTGGGTGTAGGTAGGACACATCAGCTGAGTCTGTTACAGTAATTGCTGAGTGCTGTTATGTTCTCTCAACTCCTCACATAGGGGCTCTTCTCTGGAAGATTGAGCAGAAGACTAACAAAGCCTTTGCTTGTGGAAAAGTAACTATTAAAGGAAAACGCCACTGGTATGAGGCTTTACCCCAGGCTGTATTTGTAGCTTTAAGTGATGACACCGCCTGGATTATCAGAACAAATGGAGATCTGTATCTGCAAACAGGTACCTGAATTAATTATAGGCTCTTTGAATTTTTGCAGGCTGAGATCATTAGATTTCAAATCTATGGAATGTCCACAGTTTGCTATAAACTTTTATCTGCAGCCAGGACATAGGGAAGCCTTTTTACCCTGAGAAAAGTTTGGAAACAGTTGTGAAGTATTGTGTAATTAGGAGAGTGGAAAAGCCAGTTCATGGACACTTTTTATGTGTGCCAAGTGGAGTTTATGACATGGAGAGGATATAGGATGGATGCAGAGAAATGGAAAGGGATTGCAGAAAATATGAAAATAATATCCTTGCTTTGGCAATGGTATGGTGCACTGAAACAACTGAGCCTTAAGTGCATTTTCTTCTTGATTTAGGGATTTTAACAGTTTTAGAAGGACTTTGAAAGGCGATGAGATACTGTGTGGCTGTTCAGAAGGAATTTAGGTATGGGGGCAGAAAAGGGGAAAGTATTTGTTTTGTGTTTTGAAAAGCACAGATCTCTTGAAGGTAAGAGTTACCACTTGATAATGAAAGTGTTCTGAGACAGATCATGAAGTGCTTTGGAAGTATAAACAAGTGGTATGTATTTTATGTGATAGAGAAAGCAAAGCCATGGAGGAATGGAATGGGCTGTGGAGCAGCATCTTTACAGCTGCCTTCTTGTTGGATGTGAATGAGGCAAGGACTGGAAAAGGCATAGTGCAGTGTCAACTTTGAAGTCATGGCCATAGTTTTAAGTTCTTCAGTGAATAGAAGAGGATGCATTTGAAGGTGTTATGCAAACGATATTAATGCTAAATACAAGGAACAAGGATGAAGGTACAAGTTTTAGAGTTAAAGGAGAAAAGTATCAAGGACTCCTGGGCATGCTGGTGTTGCACAGAGAGCTGACTTGGTAAGGAAAAATTACCAATAATATGATGAAGGAATTACTGGAGAATGAAGAGGAAGACTGAGGTAAAGGGGGAATTGTAAGACATACTAAAGCAGGACAACATTTCAGAGTGGCTGTCAAAATTCTCATTTACTTTTAATTTTGGCATTCTCCTATTTTCTTTTTTAAATTTAATTACTGTAGCACAATACAGAAATTCTTCATGATTAAGAAAACTGTTTAAGTACACATAATAGTTTTGAAGATAATCTACTTAAATTACTTTCTTTTATTTAAATGTAGTAGTTACAGAGAAATCAAGTGGCCCTGCCCGTGGTCACATGCATAGTGCCAGCCAGCTTGGATAGTGGTGAACAAGAGTGAACTTTTGATGCCAATCACACAGGGCTCTGTGGAGGTTTGAATCAACGCTTTTCTGCCCTGTGAGAGACTGGTTTGATTACATCAGTTTACATTCTGCTGTTTTTAGGCTCCTAAATTTGTCTTTTGATGCGAGAAGTAAATTTGCAGTATGTATGTCTTGTTAATGTGAGACAACCAGTGGAAATTGTTTCTCCAGGATTTTTTCATTCCCTTCACTGTCTCATCTAACATTTATAACAAAAGTGTGTGCTCAGAGGTTTAGAAATGAGCATTCTTGTCAATTTAGAGTATCACATAGATGAATCTTTTTGTACTGGCTTTGGCAGCATAAGATTAAACAAAAACTGTGTCTCCTGAGGTGTTTTACATGGAGCTGTGTAAATCAAGCTTCAGTGTAGTTGTGAAGAAGATATGTTCCTATAGATTAGATATACAGATGTGTGCAACGTGCCTGTAAAGCTAGCAGAACCTTTCTGCTCCTTTCAGTACTACAGACTGTGGCATGCTCTTTTGCAATTGCTCTGCAGCCAATATTCAGATCAGGTTGCTTCTCTCCCTGGCATGTTTTGGGCAAAAGTTCTTCCTTTACTGACTTTTCCTTTGATGCTTCTGTCAGGTCTAATAGGGATTTTATAAATGGAGATTCCTGGTACTGACACTAGAGGGAGAAAAGGAACAGAAATGACAGGACATGACTAGTGGGCCCTGCAGGATGTTGAAGGATGTACAGTGCTTTATTTCTTAAAATGTAAACTCACCTATATTAGAGGAAATTATTAATAGTTTGTAGAAAGGAAATAATGATCAAATGACAAATGTTAGCGTGTCAGGGATATTCCTCTTCTCATTTTCTTTTGCTGAGTTTCTTTATCTCTTTTTGTTGCAAAAGCCAAAGTTTGTAAAGCAATCCTCATTTTTTGATTTCTAGGCCTGAGTGTGGATCGTCCTTGTGCCCGAGCAGTAAAGGTTGACTGCCCTTATCCACTGTCACAGGTTACATCCAGAAATAATGTAGTGTGGGCCCTGAGTGAGCAGCGGGCCCTGCTGTACCGGGAGGGAGTGCGCAGCTTCTGTCCTGAGGGGGAGCAGTGGAAGAGTGATATTGTCAGGTAATGGCACTGTGGTGGGACATTTCTTCTTTTATTAAGTACTGCTTCATGCCATAATGGCTTTGATGAGCTCACCAGTTATTTGAGGGTTTGTTTTTTTTTTTTTTTCCCTGAGATTACATCTCAGCATTTTCTTGGTCATCCAGTCACAGATTTTTATAAATACTTTGTGTAGTTGATATTTAGCTTTGTAGTTGATCCTGTGCTTGCAGTAGTTGTTTTGTGCTCAAGTTAAAAGCCCTGAGTCTCTAATGCTGGCTTTGAGAATCTAGAATGTAGTCTCTCTTGTGACATCAGCCTGAAGCAAGTATAGGAGGAAATTCCAGTTCTTGTCGTCATATGATTTTATCTACTGGATATTCTGTTGTGAAGCTTTAACTTGTCTTACCTCACAGCCTGGTATTTTGGCCCTTGAAAAGTCTAAGAAACTACTCAGTGTTCTTGTTCAAACCTGAAATTTGCATGCACTTTGATTGGTTTATTTAATGACAAAGCTGCTTGACCTACACCTTAGCTACATTTAGTGTTCTTGGGGTTTGTATTAAAATTGCAGAAAGCAGTCAGTATTTGTTCTTAAATTGTCGAGAAAGGTTATCTGAAAGAACTAGCATTGTTTGCTACCTTTTCAGTGTCTGATATGATCACCTGTTGAATTTCTGAGCTTGAAAATTGTTTACTTATGCAGAAAACTTGCAGTCCTAAATTCAGCGTTTATCTTTGCCATATAGTTAGGTTAAGTTTTCTATTTATGGCCCCTGAACTGCTAGTATTGTTCTCAGAATAGGTCAAGGAAGTTGGAGGAGACACATTTATGAGGCTGTTTTATCAAAAACTCAAAGAACACAGCTCTTGATTGCTTAAAATAGGTTTTGTTTAGTTCTATTGTTATGTATCCAAGTTTCAAATCTTTAGTAATCTTTGAAAGCCTTATTTTTTTTATTGTTGAATGTTTTTTACTTATACAAATTAATGAAATATAAATTACTGAATAACTGTGAAAATTTGATATCAAATGTGTTTTTTAGCTTGGCCCCACTGAGTTCAATCATTTTAAGCTGCTATTAGCATTGTAACAGCTTCCTTAAAATACCATAAACATAAATTTGAAGTAAGGTTTTTAATTTTTTTGCTTGTTTGCATTTCCAGTGAAATGCAAGCTTTGGAACCAGTGTGCATAACCCTTGGAGATCAGCAGACATTATGGGCTTTGGATATCCATGGCAATCTCTGGTTCAGAACTGGTATAGTTTCAAAGAAACCCCAAGGAGATGATAACCATTGGTGGCAAGTAGGCATTTTTTTATTTTGCTTTCAGTTTAGTCTTTTAGCTTGGGTTTATTATTTGTGTTGTTTTCCCACAAGATCGAAGATAAAAATTGATTGCTCAATATATTATAGCACTCTTTATTCAGTATATTAAAACTGCAGTGTGGCTATGGCTGAAATCCCTTTTCATGTCTGCCATAAAGGGTGGGGGGAAAGACCATCCCATGGTCATCCAGAGCAGCATCACAGGAGTTTTCAAGAACACAAGAAATGCTCTGCCAGGTCATATCAGTGGTGAATGTAGCCTGGTACAGTGGCAGTAGAACATGCTGTTGAGGCAGAGCATCACGTCTGGCTGCTGAATGCAGCCTCTTCTCTTGTCTTCCAGTGCCCATCCTTTTCCTTAGCTGAGTAAAATAAATAATAAGTAACTGTGCAAAAAAAATGTGTTACACATTTTTCCATTCAGTTGAGGTTTCTTTGAACCATGTGGAGCTGTTTGCCTCAGTCACAGCTCATGTGGGTAAAAGCAACTCAGTTACTGCAAGTGCTGTCTGGTTTTGATTTAGAATTCCTGACTCTGGTTTCTCCAGCTTTTCTTGTTTTCCCCAGAGACAGGAGTGGGGAAGAAGAGGGTACAAAAATTGTTATACAGAAAATTTGTTTGTCTACATGCCTACCTAAGTTAAAAGAATTTCAGTTTATGTGCATATATAATCTCTTCTTGCATGTGGGCATCATGAGTAGCTTGGCTTTGAGGTTATTGGCAAACCGGTTCTCTTTTTGTGCTCTTAGGCATTTCCTCCCTTTCTAAGAGTATCCCAGAGTGTTGCCAACCTAGTTGTCCGTGGCCAAACTTGGGCAATTGCTTACTTAGACCACCTCCTTCATTATGAATTAAAATGTCCATGAGGTTGTTGTAAAGGAGTATTGCATACAAGTTTTTGTGATGTGGTTTGAATTGCTACACTGCTCAAATTTCTCTCTTCCTTTGGGAAATTGAAAATTCACCTCTTGGTTTGCAGAGTTCAACGTGTTTTTAGAGGCAGAGAAGAGGTGATGTCCTAAAAAGAAGGGCTTTTATAAATGCAGAATTCTAAATGGATTGTTGGGTAGGAGGGAGTTGTAAGCTGATGCTTAATATTGATTGTGGTTTATTAGCAAGACACTTATTCAAAATGTACTTTTTTTATTTTTCCCCTCCTGCACTTTGAAGCTTTCTAAACTCTTGGTAAGATTTCCTGTCCATAAAGAACCCACACCAAAAAAACAGCTTCTGGTAAAAGATTGTGCAGTTCAACCAAAAGCTTAATTAATTATCAAGAGCACTTTTTTTCCCCCCAGGTGAGCATCACTGATTACGTAGTGTTTGACCAGTGCAGCCTGTTCCAGACAATAATCCAGGCAACTCATACAGTGGCAACAGCAGCTCAGGCACCTGTGGAGAAGGTGGCTGATAAGCTTCGAATGGCATTTTGGTCACAGCAGCTTCAGTGTCAGCCCAGCCTCCTCGGAGTTAATGGCAGTGGAGTCTGGATCTCTTCAGGCAAAAATGAATTCCATGTAGCAAAGGGAAACTTAATAGGTTGGTGTGTTTTTGCATCTAATATTTTTAAGTTAAGAAAATTAGGAGGAAATAACTAACTACAGCACCACAAAAATTACCCATGGCAAGTCAGGGCAGCTTTAACAAACATGCTTAAAAATTAAATTAAACGATTCATTAGCATTTAGTCTTAAATACTTTCTCATTTAAAGGGAAATATTTTTTGTGGAAAAGTCATTGTCAGCTGGTGAGCTGTGCACAAGTAACTCCTTTTAACACCTACATTTCTCTGCGATGAGAAGTCTCTTCTCTGGGATGAGAAGGCAGTCTTAAGCTTAAGTTTTATTTAGCACAATGGAGTCTGGTTCACCATCAGTGTGACTATGCAAAACAGTAATGTTATGGTTTTACAGTGCTAGTAGAGGAATTGCTTTATTTTTCTTGCTTTATTTCTCAAAATAGAATTTTGATTTGGTACATTTCTTCATCCAGGTAAATGCTAACAATAGGCCAGGACATTGTTTAACCTCATGACCAAATTGGTCCCCTGTTGAAGACAACTAATCTTGTCCTTGATCCTTTTCTGCATTCCCAGTTTTCTCTCTGTGTGTATACATATGTATACATATGTGTCAGGAGGACACATGTTCCCCCTCCCCTTAACAGTTACTTAGAAGATTTACACAGAAAATTTTGTCTAAATGATATTTATTAATTGATCGCAATAGAATTTCTTTCAAACTGTAACATTTTAAGTAACAACAAATTTTAAGAGAAAATTAAGTTTCATATTAATGCCGCCCTGTCCTTCCTTTCAAGGCACTTATTGGAATAATATTGTGCCTCGTGGTACTGCTTCTGCCACAAAGTGGATTTTTGTGTTGGCTTCCACAGCTTCATCTAAAGAAGGTTAGTGAATCAACAGTGCAGGCATATAATATCTGATTTTTAAATAGAGTGGAATTGATGGTTTAAGTAATTAAATGTCCTTGAATTACTTCAAATTTTGGGTGTCTCTTCTATATGCAGGGATCTAAAGTATTTGAAGTAGGGTGAAAATACGTCTGTAAAACTACTGGAGATTAAAATAACATATTATTCACTCTCACCTTTGGTGTGGAGAGGCATCCAACAGAGAAATGGGCAGTTCTTTAAGAGCAGTAACTCCCTAAATTGCCGATGCATGAATCACCAGAATTTGTAATAGGAAATCTTGGAGCACGCTCTGCTGGAATGCCTGCTCTAACTGAGTGTTTCCCCTGTCAGTACAGTTATTGCAGCAAAATTGCACATTTCATCAGTAAAACTGAGACCATGCTAGGGAATTGAACTTCTAGTTACAATAGTTAGCAATTCCATTATCTAAGTACACTGGCATTATTGGCAAAAATATATGATTTAGAGCTGAAAAAGAATACTTTGTATTCAAAGGCTGTTATCAAGGATAAGAGCAAAAGAATAAAGGGAGGTGATAGTGCATTGTTACGTGTGTCTTTTCTCTGTTAGTTTCTTCAAATGAAACACTTCTTCAAATGAGATCACTTAGTACTTGATTTGAGAAACAGAGTATTTAAGTGCCTAAATGAGGGCTTAGGATGTGTATTTTTACTTCAAACTCTTACCTTATGAACATAGCCAAGAAGCTTTCGTTTTGCCTTCGAACGCACTTATCGTTTTTTTCAGAAAAAAGTAAATGTGTAAGTTTTCTCAGAGTGGATTAGGAATTATTTTAATAACAGAAATGTCCTTTCCGTAGGAAGCTTTCTGTGGCTGTGCCAAAGCAACAAGGATCTGTTTTGTGTCAGTGATCAGAATCCTCAGTTTCGTCCTTCTACAGTCCAGCTGCCACCGGAGGCCGAGATGGTGCACTACTCTGCCTGCCAGGATGCCATTTGGGGTTTGGATAGTCTTGGGCAGATATTTATCAGAACACTTTCATCCAGCTGCCCAACAGGGATGCATTGGACAAAACTGGATCTCACCCAACTAGGTATGACATTTTTATTGAGTAGAATATCTCTTAACCCGTAGCATACTGTCAATGTTTTCCGTAAGTATCCTTCAGTTTACTGATATAGGATGTAATATTTACTGGATCAAATAGTAACTTACAATAATGGGCCTCACGGCAAAGGACTGTAAAATATCTGGAACAGCTGTGGCTTTCAAACAGTGTTCTGTTTAGCCTTTTCCTGTGGACATCATGTTTACTGTTTGCAAGATAATTTGCAGTTGGTCAGTCTGAGATGGCTCAGCCTGACACGGTGCTGTGCAGGTTTACCAGCAGCTTAACTAGTCTGACTCTTGTTCTGCAGTGTAACCATAATCACCTGGTCTCAGGCAGTTCCATACACAGAGCCCTGAATGTTGTGATTAAAAACAGGCTTTTAACAGTGCCAAAAAATCTGCATTAGGATCCTGTCAAGGAAAAATTATGCTCCGAGAGTTGCATCATCCATGAGTGATAGAGCTGATAACACCCATGTTCAGGTTTATACTGATCTAATAATTCAGCATAATGCTTAGAACATGGTGCTGGTTAACTGCTCTTTTCATTTGCTTAGGTGGTTGACCATGTTTTGATCATTAAAATATACTCCCACTTTGGAGTTTGGCTCTGGGGTAATCAGGTTACTTGTCAACTTCATCAGCAGTATTCCAATCAGATTTATTTCTGTGCTAGTCTGACTTAAAACATTCCTATCTCCATGCTAACCTGCATTCCTGTTTCAAGTGAAGATAAAAGAAATTGAGACTATGCACCATTCTCACACCATTTTACAATTTTTCTATTTTTAATGGCAATGTTAATGACTGGTCTGAGAATAGACAAACAGTTTTAACTTCAGGGATGAAGAAAGGCAGACATAGCTGGCACACTTTAAGCCTCATGTACAATTTTGGTGTACAATTTGTAATACTTCATGGAAAACTTTTTAAAATGTTTAAAATTCTAAAATTAATTTGTTTGTCAGTTGCACACCAGGTTTTTCAGACCTGATGAATTCATCATCAGCCTGGAGAAGAGGAGGCTCAGGGGAGACCTCATCACTCTCTACAGCTCCCTGAAAGGAGGCTGTAGCCAGGTGGGGGTTGGTCTCTTCTTGCAGGCAGCTCTCAGTAAGACAAGAGGGCATGGTCTTAAGCTGTGCCAGGGGAGAGGTTTAGGTTGGATATTAGGAAGAAATTCTTTACAGAAAGGGTAATCAGGCACTGGAATGGGCTGCCCAGGGAAGTGGTGGATTCCCCGTCCCTGGAGGTTTTTAGGATGAGACTGGATGTGGCACTTAGTGCCATGGCCTGGTAACCACAGCGGTGTTGGATCAAGGGTTGGACTTGATGATCTCGGAGGTCCCTTCCAACCCAGCTGATTCTGTGATTCTGTGACGTGAATTGGTTCCAAATGACTCATCATACCGTAGTTTAAACACTGTTTGGTGCCTTTTACCTTCACTGACTTACAGGATCGATTTGTTGACTGTCCTTCTCATATTCCATAATACAGTTTGAAAGTTTTTTCACTAACCACTGCTTTCCAGCAATTCAGACAGTAACTATTTAACAGAAATAATAAATAACTTCTTGCTATTGTCTGAAAATCTCAAAAGAATTAATAAAGGAAATCAGCCCAATCGGAGTTGGTGGACTGTAATATCTGGCCTGTGAACTTCAGCAGTTCAGAATTTCAACCTTTACATTCAGGTGTTCTTGTCAGCTCTGTGGCACATGGTGGTGGTATAGCAGAGATCTGGGTCAGGAAATACTTCAAACACTCCACTTTACCTGTCACTTGTGGGTTAATACTGAAATGTGAAAATGTTTTAGGGATTTTTCCTCCTGTTAATTGCAAATGGTAGATCACTGCTGACAAGTGCGTATCCATGGCTATAATACAAGAGCTTTTATTTGCTCTGATGGGGCTGAGGAGATTGGAGAACTATTGTTATTTTTCAGGTGTATATTTAAGTTTACTCCTGAAACCTTAGGGCTGTAATTGGGGGGGCATGAGGAAGTGGGAGCAACTTGCTGAAAAATGCAATTCAGAATTCTGTGAAGTGATGGGGTTGCCAGCATTAGGGTTGAAATATTCATGTTATGTTGGTAGTATCATCCTCTTGCCTTTACACTATGTACTGGGAGTAGTACCTAGTAAATTATTTTGATTAGAGTTCCACTACTGCTATCTAAACACAGTAGAATGACCTTTAGGTTTTAACAATAAACAATGCCTTTGAATCCTGCTACTTGCTCTAAACAGGAGATGATTGTGGTTAGCATGACCTTCTCCTAAGATCCAAACAGTAAGAGGGAGGAGGGAGGGACCCCAAAATATTTACATAAGGGCGGCTTTTTTGAATATCAAATTGTCCTGTAGACGTAAATAATATCAGCTGTGCCGAGTAGGTGATATGTGATTCCACGTGTGAATGCTCTGATGTTTGTCTGGATCAGAGCACTTCAACAGCTGAGGTATCATATGATGAAGCCATTACTTCGAGTCATATGTTATGTTAGAAGGAATAATAAGGTTTAAAGTAAGATTTTGACTTTGTAGCTGAACGTCAAGCCCCTCCCTGCAAAAAGAAGTTGTTATAGGTATTCTTATCCCAAGGAGTAGAGGTTTTTTGTGTATAGTTTTGTCATTTTGTTTTTAATGTGAAGCTGTATGATTAAAGGAAATTTTGGGATGAGAATAATTAATTCATATTCCTATGATTCAGAGAGTTAAATAATCTTGGTTAATGAGATCTGCTTACTATTACAGATAATTTAAAAATGAGGCTATGTTGTCCTGTTGTTTCCTATTCTTTCCCTCAGCAAGCCTTAACGACAGCGAATACTGCCTTTTGCAAAAGTAAATGCTTTGAACTTGCACTCTGTGGGATAAAATTGCACCCCATTCTTTAAGGAATGCTGTGCCTGATGAATTTTACAAGGGTTTGTTGCCAGACTTCACATACCTGAAGAGTGAACTGTTACCAAGAATGGGATATCCCAAGCAGCACTGGCATGTTCAGTTAACCAGCAAGGCCTATTTTTAGAGCCTTTAGTTTGGAGTCTGACCAGAGCATTCCTTCTGTAGTGTGTCTGTACTGATGGGTCCCTCGTTCTTTGGAACGTGTTTTCTGTTACTTAGCATTGTATTGTCCAACAGGGGGAGAAAAAAAGAAATAAAATGTTAGTTATACTACATCACATGGCTATTTTAAAATGAATGTGAAGGAGTTTCAGTAGACAGTTAACTAGGAGTTCTTTTAGTCTAAAATATCACGCATACTTCTCTACTGTCCTTGCAGGTATCTAGACTAAATCCAAACCACAAACCACCCCAAAATTCCAAACCACACTTATTTGGCAGCTTTTTTTTCACGGTGCTGACTTACACAGGGTTAAGATACCGCTGCACTTTTGATATGACTGTAATAAATACGTACAGTGGTGAATATAAATCTGTTTGAAAATGAGTTCCTTTATTTACAGATGTGACACTGGTATGTTAACACTGAAATGCATAATCCACGTGCTCTCATATTTTTAAAGTGCTGGCATTAGGGAATGTTCTTTGCTGAATGTGTATTAGCGGATCAACACCTTTAAAAGTCTACAAGCCTGGCCAGCCACAGAGAAGAGTTCATGTTAGGTCATGTGAAAGTTTGTCTAGGCACTGATAACATTTGTCACGGAATGGTTCCCTGCTTGAATTTGGTTATTTTAATAGCGTATTTTTCATGTGCTTTAGAAATTGCAGTATCCTGTGACTAAAACATTTATTTTAAGATTTAGAAGAGAAATTTCTCAGATATATACTGCCTATTAGCTTTATTCATTGCATCCAGTGATTTTTTTTTTTTTTGGTCTCATAACTTGTATTAACTTTTAATCATTTTTATGTGACTGTGTTTAAAGCTAGTTTAATACAATGAAGTCCAAATAATAAAAGTTCTCATTATTAGCTGAATTTGAAAGGATAATGCCAGGTTGTTAATACTCTCTTTGTTATTAGGTGCTGTAAAGCTGATCAGCTTGACCTGTGGAAATCAGCATGTTTGGGCCTGTGACACCAATGGTGGCATTTATTTCCGTGTAGGAACTCAACCTCTTAACCCAAGTTTGATGCTTCCTGCGTGGATAATGATTGAGCCACCTATACAGGTAAAGTGTTGATTGTAACCTGGTGGTTGATTGTAACTGTTGTAACCTGGTGATTTAATAGATAATGGCCAGTCTTCGCGAGCGAAGATTTGGGAAAGGTCATTAACCCTTCCAGCCTGCGCAGTGGATTTTTAGGTGAGACACAGCGTGCGCTGAACTGAGCCCACCCTTTAGTCCTGAGGTTCATCTGCCGGGGCCGAGCAAAGCTTGGACAGTGGCAGTGAGGTCCCCAGGATGTAGGTTTGTTTAGAGTGACCTTCTCTTAGGTGGATTGCCTTCCACGGCTGACGAGCTCCACCTGCCCAGGGGGCCGGGAATCGAACCCGGGTCGCAGCGGTGAGAGTCAGACACTCTAACCACTAGACCTCACTGCCACTGTCCAAGCTTTGCTCGGCCCCGGCAGATGAACCTCAGGACTAAAGGGTAGGCTCAGTTCAGCGCACGCTGTGTCTCACCTAAAAAAATAAAAATCCACTGCGCAGGCTGGAAGGGTTAATGACCTTTCCCAAAAATCTTCGCTCGCGAAGACTGGCCATTATATAACCTGGTGATTTAGGTCTATGCTAAACAATAAAACAATATTTTTAACACTCACGGAAAACAGTAGAGATGCAGGTTTTTGTTTTCCTTTCCTAATGAAAATTTACTCTTCTTGTAGCACACAGAAGCTTTATAGGCACATAGCAGAGTGCAGGATTGAGCTACATCCTGAGCACCTGCTGTGTGCTAAGCAAGGGGCTGGATGGGCAAGCAGCACAGAGCGCAGGGTGAGGGAAGGCTCTGCTCAAGTGGCATGGTGCTGAAGTGCTTGCCTCCCTCTTCCTTTATCCTCACCCTTGTGAATCTGGGATGCTTGCTAGAGTGCTGTGGGAAAGGCATCACAGCAGGTGACACTTGTTGGGCTGTACAGGGTTTGCCAGGTGTGAGGATCTGGCTGTGGTTTCCTGTGGACCTGAGGGAATGGCCTGAAGTTGTGTCAAGGGAGGTTTAGGGTAGATATTAGGAAAAGGTTATTCACTAGAGGGTGGTTGGGCACTGGAACAGGCTCCCCAAAGCAGTGGTCGTGGCACCAAGCCTGACAGAGTTCAAGAAGTGTTTGAACTATACTAGTATTCAGGCACATGGTGGTACTCTTGGGGATGGTCCCGTGCAGGGCCAGGAGCTGGACTTGATGATCCTTGTGGGTCTGTTAGAACTCAGCATGGTCTGTGATTCTGTGAATTTAGGGACTTGCCTTACCATGCAGTCATTTCTAAGTATACGGCACAAATGCAGCTCTTCTCCCTTGTTCCCGAAATGGGCAAAGTTTGGTCCTTTGAAAGGATACAGAGTGGAAAGAAGCCTCCTAAAGTACCCTGGGAGCATATTTTCTGAATATAGAAGACAGACATAATCTGTTTCTCCAGTGCCTGTTGTTTGCTTTCTGGTTGCTTGTTTGTTTTTTTTTAATCTCTCCTTAAACATCACTGCTTGCTTTCGTTTCTGCTGTAATAATTTGCAAGTTAATCTATAAGATGAGAGTAATTTCTGTGTCTGTGAGTTGGGACTGTCCTAATGGAGCTGACCTTTGACTGCTGATTTCATTCTTTGCCCCTTGGCATGAAAATGCTTGAACTGAACTCTCTGTGATCTCGCAGAGTAGCGGTGGATGTGTTTGCCTACTTGATTTACATTTTATGATGTTACGTCATTTCTTTTAAAGATTTTGAAATGTGTGGTACTTTTGAAAGGACATATTAAGAAATTCAAGTAAATCTGGGGCAGTGGAGTTGCAGTAGTTTATTTGGGTTTTATAGTTTGCTTTTAGTTCTGCTTGTCTCTCATCAGCCAGTTGCTGACTCCTGTGTATCTTAGGGTATAACAGCAAAGAGGGGCAGTGGAACAGCGAAATGAAACTGCAGATCTGCATCCCATCAATTAGCACAGCACTGGTTGGATGACTAATCCTGTACTGGGAATGTTATCCCAGAGAAATGGCACCTTATTTTGCAGGATAGCAGAGCAGACTGAGAAATAGTTGCCAATATCTCTTGCAAAAAGGACTTGGTTACGCTGCTCATTCTTTGTGTGCTGCAAGTGGGTCTTTTTCATGTAATCTATAAGAGGCACGTTTTCCCTGCTAACAAGGGATGGGGCAGCAGGAAGAGGAGACTGAATGTATCAGTGATGACATCTCCCATGAAGGTAGTATTCTTAAAAAGAGGGGAGAAAACATTCCACTTAAACTGAGTTTGCCAAGAGACAGAAAATTAAACTTGTGTAGTGTCTTCTTACCAAAGGTCTATCCAGGAAAATGGCCCAAAAAGCTGTTTCTCTATGCTGATACTATTTTCTCTGTCGTAAGTTATTCTCTGCTCCTCAACTGAAGTAGATTAAACTGCTCAATGCAAAGGTGATTACAACAGTTGGCATTTGCTGTGGCTCATGATTTGGCAGTGACTTCCTTATGTAGAAAGTGGACAAGGTTGAAAATCAAATTATTTCCTATTATCTTATCAAGAAAGCTGGATGATGTTGGCTTCCAAAAATTATAACCTTCTGATACCCAGAGCAGTGTCATTCTCTTTCCTGATATGGCAAATTTAATGAGTCAGTATGAAAGGGCAAAAATTCAAACATTGCTTGTAGAGAAGATGAAAACTCAGGGGTTGTGTGCTTGTTTTGAGACAATTCTAGCATGTTAAACCAAGTCGTTAAAGGAGCAGCCTCTGCTTTTACAGAGGCTTAATGCAAAATAAGAAAATATGTGAACTTTTAAAATATTTCCAAATGCTAGCTTAGTGTTTGGATAACAAATATAACATGATGTCTGAAAAGTGAACTGTTCAGTGAACAGTATTTGCTTATTAGGAGCAAATTACTTACTGTTATCTGTCCCTTAATTGACTTTGACATAGTTCATGCTGCCTCTCTCTTCAGAACAGCAGAAATACTGTAAGAAGTATCTGTGAACAATTCAGCCATTTTCTGTTTGAAGAAGGAAATCAAAATTGCCTTTCACTTTCTTTAAGTACAGGAGCACTCTCAAATAACGTAATTTGAAACCAACTATGGATATTTCATTCCCCAGTAAATGTCAGAGCCAATATGACTTGCCTATCCCAGATCTCATGACTCATGAGCAGCTTGTGAGCAGCTGCAGACTCTGCTTTTATGGTGTCACTTCTCCTTAAAGGAGTGCTGCAGTTGCACAGCATCTGTCTTTTAACAGCTTCACAAAGGTATTCAGAGACTGTAATTTTGATGAGATTTTGCTCATGGTAAAATGAGTGAATATAATTTAAGTTCAGTCTTTGGCTCTGTGATGCTGTATTTTTTCTTAAATCTAGACTAAACCCATTCTCCTTTGTTACTCTTCCCTCTGTACCTCTCCACTGCAGCATCTCTTGAGATGAAAAATAACATTATATGTTCTCTGCCCTCCCTCTTTATTTTATCGGGTATTTCAGAAGTGGTTGATAACATTGTTAGAGTATCTTGAGCAGTAGTAGGTTATATATAGATGTTTTCTGTGCTTCATCAATTCTGTTCTGCAATCTTAAAAGTCAAAATGATGATGTAGTTAAGCAGCTTTTTGGAAGCTGCTTCAAGGACATTGACAAAACGAATCAAAATGGTTTGATGAAATTATTTTGGACCAGAAAATAGAAAGTGTTCTTCATTCAGTTGTTAATATACAGCATAAAACTATGATCTACTGTAGCATGTCTTAATATAGATTACATTTAATTTTTTAAAAAAGAGAAGGAAATATAAATATTATTTAAGAAGATACTAATGGAGTATGTTTCTATATATGTGTGAACATATATTTATTATGATTTAATGCTGTTCAGATTTCTGACCTAAAGGAACAATAATAAAAATAAAATAAAAAATTAGTATAGTCTATAAGACTACTTTAAGTGATTGTAGAGCAGAAGTTGATCAAAAGTTAAAAATCATTAAATTACTTTAAAAGGTCCCCAGAAGTTGAACTGCTTGAAAATAATTTTTTCTACATTTCGTCTTTGGTTTCTGGCACCTTCTGAAAAAGATGAGACAAAATCTGCTCTTGAGAAACACTTAAGTTCCTACAAGCACAATTTAACATACAAACTGTCCTTAAGAACCACCTTCTCAGATTTACAGTAAGAGATCTATCAGCTAAACAACTTTATTTGACAAGATTAAAGGAAAGATTAAAAAAATGATCATAATAAGTATTTGTAAGAAGTTACTAATCTATTGATTGTAAATAATCAGTCTTACTCTAAAAATATATTGAAACATTTTATTGTCATTTGCTTAACTGCTGCTCTGTTGTTCATTTGTAACTAAATTTCACAGAGAATAGGATTGAAAAAGCAATTTTATTAAATCAAGAGATCTGTTTAAAAATCCATGTAGATTGTCTGAACTGTGGAGTACAAGGGGTTTATGTAAGGAAGTGTTTGCTATTTGACTACTGCATAAAGCTTTTTCCGGGGTCTCAGCAGACAAGCACCACTTAACTTAGTTTGCTATAAAATTGTTACCTGCAGTATGTTAGAAAAAGTTAGAAAAACTTTTGATTTACTACCGTTCCCATAAGCAACCTGGTAATTGTCTCTTTATATTTTAAGCTTGATATCATAGGTAAGAGAAATTCTTATAGTAGTAGAAGTTCTTGCTGACCTAGGAAGAGCTATTTTTTTCTCGTACACAGACTTCCAAAAAAAAAATAAAAAATTAAGGCTGTTCATGCTTTCGCAGTTGTTCAAACACTATTAAAGCTAGCAAATAGTAGTTTAAAAATATCGTTTGAAATTTAGGCAAATTATCTGTAATTTTGGGAAATCTGTACAGGATAGATTTAATTTCTTTTCAATACTTTACATTGAACATAGATTAAGAAAAGGTTAGGAGGTTGATTGTGTCTTATGGGTAAGTGGTGACTTGTTAGAAATTGTTGCATGATTTTTATTTCGTTTCCTTTCTTTAAATAAAATTCTGCTTATTACAGAACACTTAATGTGGAC